AATGTTCAGGTCGATTCGACACCTATTCAATCATTCGTACTGTGATCGGCCGCTTGACGGTCTTGGAGTACTGTGCCCTATCTCTTCGGGTCGAGAGGGGTGGGAAAGCCCATCTCAGCATGTGGTGTAGCAGATACCTGGCCATATTGGCGGCCTTGAGGTTTGCTGGCGGATTTGAATATAGACTCGGTCAGGCGAGGTGAATTCCCGTGGCTTTGGGCGATTTCCCCTTGCAGGCAAATTTCTTGCAAGCTCACGGAGGTATTTTTTACCGTCTACAGAGGACAAATGTACCATAATCATCCTCCGGCAACGAACACAATAGCAACATCGTCTTGTCTTCATCCTCAACCATGATGTTCATATTGGCCATATCCGAAAGCAACTTCGTGAAGTTGTTGACATGCTCTCTAATGGAAACTCCCCTCTTCATCTTGAATTGGTAAAATATCTTCTTCAAGTGAAGTCGATTCTCAATTATCTTCGTAAGATACTTCTCATTGAGTGTTTCCCACAATCTCTTCGCTGATGTCTCGTTCATCATATCATAAATCAAATCCAGCGTTAAGCACGACCGAATAACCCCACATGCTCTATTGTTCAACTTCTTCCAAACCTTGTCCTCCATGTCTTCAGGTTTCTCTTATAATTCAAGAGTCTCCTCCAAATTCTGGGCATCCAACGTATCCATCACCTGGCACCTCCACAAACCGAAATTAATCTTGTCATCGAACTTCGGAACATCAATCTTGGTGTTATTGATGCTCAGAGTCTGTACCGCCTTCAAGAGAGACGATCATGATGTGCTTGCTTCACCCATGTTGATAATCTAACTCTTCAAATAAGAATCCTTCAGAGAATCCTCCAAACGAGCCCCAAGCCAAACCTGAAGCTCTGATACTACTTGTCATGCATAGCGAAACTCGAAACACAAGAAAGAGCACGAACAAGAACAAGATTGATCACAACCAATAAGTAAAACACAATCACCACAGCAAGACAAACGAATGTTACGTGGTTCGGTAAGTTGCCTACGTCCATAGGGCAAGGAGGGGGTTTACTATTAGAGATAATGAGAATACAAATAGGATTTACAATCTCACCCAAAAACCCTCAAAAAAAGCTCTCAAAATCTCTCACGAAGCCTCCCTCAAATGATGCACAAAACTCTCTCAAAAGCTGTTCAAAATCTTGTCCCAGTTAACCCTAATAATCATGTTTAGGGTTATATATCAACACAAAAACAAAACGGGTCAGAAAACAAAGCTCGGGCTCAGACCCGAGTGGCGATCGACCGCACATGACGTCGTGATCGACCGGACAGAATGACAGAAACTCAAAAAATCAATTACAGGATCCGCGGTCGACCGCACTTGACGCCGCGGTCGACCGGCTAGAGATCCAGAAACTACAATGTCGCACTTGACATCGCGATCGACCAGACAGAATGATAGAAAATTAAAAAATCGATTATAGGGTCCGCGATCGACCGCACTTGATGTCGCAGTCGACCGGTCAGAGATCCGAAAATACACCCTGTAGTGTGCACGTTTTCGGTCGACCGCCACTTGTCTCGCGGTCGACCGAACAGTACCCAGACTGTTTCCTGCTTTGTTTTTCCTAAACTTCGTCTCCGTTTTCGCCGTTTCTACACTATATTCATTATAATAAGTAATACTGCATATTTAGGAGGAAATTCAATAAATAAATAGTATGCATTCTGGAGGAATATTTATGCAAATGGAGATGTGGAGAATATATTTAAAGCCTATAACAATAAGACAAGCATAATAAAGTGATGTAGATTTCGCAGGACTTTATAGAAACGAACAATCCACAAATACCTGTAAGAAATATCTATGAGTTATTATTCTTGGTATTTAGGATTCATTGTTGATGGATGTTGAGATCGAGAAGGAGAATGTTCGTAGAATCAAATTAGATGGTTAGGTGCAATGGTGTTGTTGAGGCTCTCTAATTGTGTGTAACAATTTGTGAAGTTGAAGTAGAACCTGAGGAAATAACTATACGAACAATCATCCTTTATGGGTAGAAATCACGTTGACCTTGAGACGGATGTCACAGAAAAGTATAAAGGATAATATTTTTAAGTATAGAGCATGAATAAGAGACGGTTTAAAAGTGAATAGGTGATGAAGAAGTGATTTAACTGGATTGTGTATGTGTAGGAGGCTATTAACTATCCCTGTTGGAAGCAATTTGCACTCTTTCAGTACTCATTTGGTGAAAGTCCACTGCCTGGAGTTGCGAGTTGAAACGTACAGGACCTTAAGTTTACATAACATTTAAAAATCTTCTTTCCACCTGAGCTAGCTCTCATGATCCATTTCCGAATGACTAATAGGATTTCAATTGTGGCATGAGGAGGATAAAAAGTGACATGAACAGCTTTGAATTGAGCATCAAGAAGATGGTAGGTGTTAATAGAAGAGATAAAGTTGATGTAAAATCTACTTCCATCGCCAACATAGGATTTCAATGGTGTTGAATGAGGTAAAAAGTTGATGTAAGCAACCTTAAAGATTAGGAATAAGAGCATTGCCGTCGATGTTGTGTGATCTCCTCCCATTGCCAAAATCTTCTTCCGTACAGCCCATAACTAACTAAGAGTTTTTCATGTACAGAACATACCTGCTTCTTAACGTCCCTAATCTGGGTACAAGCATTTTGCAACAAGACCAGCAACACCTCCTTCATCCGAGGCAGGCAGGCTCGAAGGCTGCGCCCCTGTGCAAATGATGCCCAATTTAACGACCGCTTCCATCTCCTACATACATGATTCTTCCTTAATATCATCAGCAATAACACCCCTAACACATCCATCTTCTCGTTGACTTTCCTCGACCAACCGCATTCTGCATCTCAAGTGCACATCACAGTGAATAGAATTATACAGAAAATTTTACCTAAAATGTTTTTTTTTTTAAATTCAGATTGAAGAAATTATCTCACCTGGAGCCATACATATAAAAGGACTTGCAATACCAGATGCTGACTCGTCATCCCCAGCATTCACAAGCATCTGGGCCAAGCCAAAATTAGCAATCTTAGCTTTAAATTGTGATTCTAGTCGAATGTCTGCAGATTTGACATCCTGATGAACAACAGGAGGAGAACAATCATGGTGCGGGTGGCACACCCCCTTTGCTGCGTTAACAGCTATACCTAATCTTTTCGGCCAATTTAATGCTTTGCGATGCTTGTGATGGAAACACTGGTCTAGGCTCCCATGCACTACGTATTCATATACCAAAAATCTTTGAAGTCGAAGATGAAAGGCCTCCAAAGAGCTTCACAATGTTTACATGACGCATCAATCCGGGTATCTTGACTTCAGCTAGAAACTATTTTCCAAGCTTTTCATCCAACTTCCTCTTGTTCCAGATCTTTTCCACAGCGGCCATCTCTCCCGATTCTTCGTCTAAAGCGATGTGATACACGATCCCTCCTCCACCACTCCCAATAAGATTGTCATCTGTAAGGTTTTCAGCGATGTTCCCTCCAGAAGATTGCACCGAATGAAATGTAGTTACCTTCCATGATGATGTGAGACTGTGGAGACTCGTCAGATTTCCTCTTTCTACATCTCAGTCTTATCAATAATATCCTTATATTGGCAAAAACCAAGAAGAAAAGTGCACTGAATGCGAGAAGAAATATGACAAGGCCTGATGATAAGATTTTTTTTTTTTAATGGTTACAGTGTTTGATGTTGGTGATTTGGACAACGAGCAGAGGTTTGGATTGGCGAGAAAACTGAGAGAATACATCTTGAGCAGTAAGATCGAAATCTCACCAGAGAGTTGGTTTGATGAGAGGTTCAACAAGGTTAGCTTGATATCGCCTATTCCAGTCGGTATCGGACCAGAGAGCAGATTCTTTGGGTTCAAGTATGGAGAGATCAGACAATGATCTAATTGTTGTAGGAATGTCCCCATTTAGCTTGTTATTGCTTAAAGTCAAGCTGAACGAGATGTCTCAATGAGGAGATTGTTCCTGGGGTATCCGCAGAAAGTTCGTTGGATGAGAGGTTGAGAGTGATTAGCTTGAGCTCACCAAATAAGTGTCCCGATAGAGAAATTGTTCCTAGGATCTGGCCAAAGAGTTGGTTGGGTGTTAGTTAAGTGACAAGTCGAGGAATGGGAAGGATTGATCGAGGTTATGGAATTGGGATGGTATCAAGCCAGACAGCTGGAAGTGTCGAAGGTTGAGGACCATGAAATTGAAAGATCCAATTGCTCCTGGGATTTTTCCAACAAATTAGTTGTAGCTCAAATCAAATGTTCAGTCGATAGGCAGCTTCTTTGGTAGTTTGCCAGAAAATGAGTTGTGGTGGATGATTACAGTTGTTATATTCACCGCCTTCGAGCAGAGCCCAGATGGTACTTTGCCGTAGACATTGTTATTGTGAATTATCAGAGTGACCAGAGTTTAGCAATTTGCGAAAGATGACCGCAATGTACCAGTAAAATTGTTATTAGATGCAGACAGCAAGGCTAAGCTTCCTTTTGAACAAAGGCGCTAAGGTAGATCATCAGAGAGAGAATTGTCATCTACCAGAAAATGCGGAAGATGTGAATGCTTGCCAAATTCAGGAGGAAGTCTCCCATTCAAATTGTCGCTGGGAAGATCAAGTTCAGTGAGTGAAGGAAGCAAAGCAATCTCTGCAGGAATCTTGCCAGACAACTGATTCGTCTTACAAATACATCACGGCAAGATTCTGCAGCTCCCAAGACCTGAAGGGATTCTCCCAGTAAGAGAATTTATATCAAGATCTAGATGCTCGAGGTTTGTAGATTCTGAAATGTATTTGGAATAAACTCGTAGTCAGCAGAACAGGTTGTCAAATTTCCTTATCTTTTCAAGTACTGGAATGCGCTAACCCTGATGAATGGAGCATAAACCGCTACTTCTCTTAAAGATATTGTGGGAATTAATCTCTTAAGAAAAAATAGGGACAGATAAATACAGCGTTACCCTTGAGCAAAATCACATAACATGGAATAATAACATTTCTGCCTTTGTTGCAAATCTAATGGAACCCCTCCTTGCAATAACGCCATCAATTTCTCCAAAATTGACTTATGAAAGAACCATTCAAACATAATCCCATGAAAGGATATCACACCTCAAAATATTTGAGATACATAAGAGGTAATGCAAATTATTCACTTTTGAAACAAAACAGTTGATATGTTTGAGGATGCCACATAGGCGTTTAAGCCTTTGTAGAGATCCTCATTAAGTTGGTTTATCATGCCTCCCCATTGTATTTCCTCTTGCGCGATCCAAAATAGTTCGATCAGCAGTAATGAAAAATCCAGCAATTGAAGCTGCACAAGAAAATACATGTAAAAAAAAGTAAGTTTGAGGTGATCCGGTAATATGATTGGACAAAAGGTAATAGAAAAAAATAGGTTCAGAAACCAGGATGAGACCGAAAGCAATGAACTACAATGCAAAGTATCTCTGCAGAACGTCCTGAGTTTTATGGTATATAATGATGAATGATACAGCAGGAACAGGTCTAAATTAAGCAACTGAAATATCAAACTGTGATCGATTACCAAACATGAGACAGGAAAGGAACAAGCGCAAACTCAGAAGAATATCACTCTATGGTTAATTGCATAGCTGATATTAGAGAAAGTTGAAATTTGAAATCAATAGAATTTTTAGACTGAGGACATTTTTATTGATTCCAAGTTTCCATCTTCACATATTTTCCGAAGGGTTTTTCAAGTACATCCCCACCCCACCCCAACCCCACACACACACACACAAAAACTCATTCTATCTGCTTATTATCTAATCTGACTATTTGCCAATTTAACCCCGCATTCCTGAGATTGTTTTAATTTACAATTATCTTGTATAAGATATGAAAAAAACCACAAGTAATTTTTCTTCCAATGACGCATAATTTTATGGCAGTGACAACCATCTTTGCTCAATATCAACTCTCAGGGGTGCTTGTTCACTTCCTAATATCAATATAAATGGAACTGTTTAAACCCAATCTTAAATGACGAGATAGCTGTTTTACAATACATGTAATGTACATGTTTCCTTGATGTGTCACCTAAAGAACAAAAGGTTGTCAACATAACTGATCCTACTGAAAGTAAGGTTCATCTGATGAAAAAGTTAGCCCAACTACACACAACATATTATATATAGGAAAATACTATCAATTGCTCTTGGTTTTTTTTCACAAATCGAAAACAACTAATTGAAAAGGTATTTGTTTGTCCATTTGATAATTAGACGTATTCAGATATACAGTACAATCAAAGCAAAAACTGAGTACTCTGGACATATTACCAGCTGATATGATGAGCGCCTGTGCAGTGTAATTAAGATTTGCTTTAGCCCAAGGAATGACGCGGCAACCAACCAACTGAAAAATATAACACAACCAAATTGAAGTTATAATTTTTTAACCATAGAGAATTTTATTTAATTAATAATAGCCATTTTATGTGATAAGAGAAATAGAATAGAATCAGACCGTCGGCACTGCAGTAACAACACCTACAACAGTGGCCGTCTTGAATCCTTCTTTGACAGCTTCTGCAATACAAAAAATTAAAAAAAAAGGGAAATAAGTTAAACAATATATGAATAGGGTATGAAGCACTAAAGGAACTATGTTGAGATTTTGACTTGACCAAAGTCTTTTTAATCAAATACCATGAAATAAATGACTAGGGGATACTAGGGGATATAGTTTTTTTCTTCCTTTTTTATTTTTTCCCTTTTTTATTTCTCCTTTCTTTGCATGTATACTAATGACAAATCAATAGTTCCGCATAAGACTTGACATAATAAACAGAATGGAAGGGAGAAAAGTGACTATAAAACCTATTTCACTGAATATGATTAGAAAAGAACAGTAGAACAATCAGCAAACTTTAACAACAAAAAAATCAGCATAGTAATTGCTTAGAAAAGGGCAGTCTCGTGCACAAAGCTTCCTCTATGTGCGGAGTCGAAAAGAGATTGGACCACTTTGGGTCTACTGTATGCAATCTTACCTTGCATTTTTATGAGAGGTTGTTTCCACGACTCGTACCGTAACCTCCAGGTCACACAACGACAACTCAACCATTGCGCCAAGGCTCCCTTGATAATTGGCTCATAATGTATAATATACAAGGTATTCTCAGAAATCATAGATGACGAGCTGGGAGATTATGCGCGTTTGTTGGGATGCGCGAAATAATTGATTGGCAATGTTAAACCTTTGTATTTAACCTTAAGATTTGTTTTACTCTGCAGTCCATATCCTACAACCTTCATCTACAATCTTAATTCTTAAATATACAATACGCCGTTTTTTGTTCAACAATTTTTTTTTTATTATTTTTTTTTTAATTTTATTTGTAATGAGGAAAATTTGATCTGGAGTGTTCCTTTCCTAGGAGCAGAACCCACCTAGGTCAAACTTCAACTGCATCGCAGGAGGACCCAATTAGGTACGAAATGTGTTTAATTCAACTCCACAGGTGGGACCGTGGACCTGCTATAGACCAAGTAAACCCCTAGAGGTGTGGATCCCACGTTAATCTCCACATATCTCACGGTGAGTAGAAGAGGATTTAGACCCCGGCTGACTAGTGAAAAATTTCCCCATGTAACTAACTAATGTACACTACTGCGTTTGTTCAAAAAATTTTACCCAACCAAAAAATGCATAAAGGTTGCCCATTCCGAATCATCTCCGCATATAAGCTTGAAGATAACAGTAAGATAAAGAGAAAAAAGATCATTGAATGAAAAGACCATAGTTACATGGAACCCCCTACCTGGGACGGGACAGGAACGTGGTATGCCACTTACTGGGAATCGAGTAAGATAGGAGTAGGCGTGTATAAGTTAACGCTAGTGAATGTGTTACACTTAAGATTCGGCCTTCAAATGTAGAACCTGGTCATTTTCTTTCTTTGTTTTATTTGGTTACATATAGCTAAACAAATACAAATAGTACCACAATTTTGATTTCTAACATATAAAAAACGTAATAACAAGTATCTGAACCAATACAAATCACATAAAAACAAATATCTAAACCAATACATATACAAACATAATAACAAATAGAAATGTTGCAAACTGCTACATAAAAAAGTTGCAAACTAATTTATGTGTTTCTGTATATTTTTCTGAAAAAGGGTTATATTTGATTTGAAATGTAACTAATTTGATTTGTAAATAGGATCGCCGAATTCAATGAATCCCAGTTAATATTATGTGTTTCAGGGCGAGTGAACCTCGATTGCGAGTTCGCTATAGCATGCACATTCCCGACATCTATGGAAAAAGACAAATAGTCAAAGATAAAACTTCCAATGGAATTTAGTCTATAAACCATCATTATAGCATTTCTAGATTCTCTTCATGTTCCTACAAGTAAGACCTAAGTTAGACATGATTCCATTGAGTAGTAGCTGGTAGAGAACTATGTTACCTGGGTACTTCTTTTGGGATTCAGGTACCAGTTAGAAACGATTCCATTGAGTAGTAGCTGGTAGAGAACCAAGGTTGCATAGGTACGAATAAAACCCAAACCCAAACTCAAAACTAAATGGCCCACCCAATTATTTAAAACAATAAAAGTGTAAACCGGTTTTTTAACCCGAACCCAAATCCAAGCCCAAGCCCAACTTTTTAACTCAAAACCCATCCCTCTAACAAAAAAACCCTAATCCCCTTTCTCTTTGCTCCTATCCGCCGCCTCAGATCTAAGAGATCAGCTCCTCTCCTCTCCTCCTTCAGATCCGAGTCCAATGCCGTTTCCTCCCTCGACTGACTTCCCTCTTCAAGTTCGTAACTTTTACCCCCCTCCCACCTTCAAGCGCTGTGTCCCTGCCGTTTGGGTACGGATCCGCACCCAAAACGTACCCGACACGGGTACGGGGCCAATTTGGCCGTGTCGGGGTAACATAGTAGAGAACTATGTTACCTGGGTACTTCTTTTGGTATTCTGTACCCAACACGTACGCATACCCGTAACGGAACTTCGTGGGCACTCGAATATATGCATACGTTTATTCAAGCGTATACTCAATTGTATAAAACATGTTTTAATTTAAAATACTCCTCTTACACTTCTTGGACATGTATTCTACACTTCACATCCAATTTTTATATATTGGTCTATGTAAATGAAAAAACAACATTGATCTTTATGTAAATTATTAATTTTAATACATATAAATATACATAACATACATATATATAACCGTGTCCACATACCCTACTGTTTACAAATTTTTCATGTCCCGTACCCATACTGGTACCTGTACCCATGCAACATAGGTAGAGAAATACCAGACTTGATTATTATTATTTATTTTTTTTCTTGTCTAGATTTTAGGAGAAAGGCAAAGGAAAGAAAATAGCTTGAAGAAGAACAAACTCAGCACATATAATCATCGATTAGAAAACCTAGCCTTCGTACTTTCTCTCAGTTAGAAGATAACCACCCATATATACTCATCAATTCTTCTCAAAAAATTAGCATGCATTCCCATCAAACTGCTCCATACATACAATCAGCAGGCCATCTCTTTATGATATAAGAATTGATTTGAGCCCTCAGTCATAGAGGATACACTTGAATACCCTTAAGGCACAATTGAAGGCTTTTTCAGCCGGTTTGATGCCCAAATTGTCCAATTAGAAAAGCAATGTCAATATCATTCTGAACCATCTGCTTTCTGCACAACAAATTTCTACATCTTTAAGGTTCCTAAGGAATTGAACAGGAGTTCAAAGGTTAAAGTGGCAATGGATGAAAAGTTCCATGGCAACCAAAACAACCAATAAGACAAATTAAAAGAAAGTCATAAACCATTATTCATTAATAACAATTGTGGTCCGCCCCAAGGGCCGAAAAAAGACTAGAACACCAAGTTCCAGCCACAGAGACCTCTCTTATACATGTATTTTGTTTTCTTAAACCAGCCTTTTGGCAAGTCCATTTTATTCTCCCTCCTACCCAGGCAGTTTTCCGATTAAATCTGGCGCTGATTACAGCTCCCCCAAAATGGAAAGATGGGCGTACTCATCTTCTAATAGGTTTTGTCGTTATGATAGCATGTATAATGGGACAATAGAGACCTGAATTATAGATGTGGTAGATGCAAGGGGAAGGAAAACTGAAGAGGACAAAATGGATATCTGAGAGTATATTAACGTGATTGTAGATGGTTAGCTTGGTCTAGTAAATGAAAAATTTCTAGTTACATGTGATTTAATTAGTTTGAACCTGTTATTATTTGGAATTCGTTAGCCCAAGTTACCAAACGGATCTATATGCAAAAACTTACAAAACACAAGACTATGTTCGATAAAACATGTGAAACACAAGGAGGAATATGTAATACTGTTAAAACTTGTGAGTGTGTTATACACGTGAGAGCGCACAGATGCTAAAATACCTTACAAGTTTCTGTTTCCAGTGTATGACACCTCTATGGTATTAGATAGTTCCTTACAGCATGTTTGTTATTCTAGGTTATGGTTGTTATTATTTTTACTTATAATTTTTTCTCAAGAAAATATTCCGACAAATCAAGACTGCTGCACAAAATCAGCACAAGTTTCTTAATAAGCATGCGTGGGTGCAAACAAGGTAAGTCATATCTTTCTCTAATTATATTAGTTAAAATGCTATAATTCTACTAGTTAAAATGCTACAATTCATACAAAGCCCTGAACCTTCAATCTCAAATGATGAGATACAAATGAACTTCTAACATTCCTATGAATAAACTTTAAGATCCACAATGAGAAAAAAAAATGAAATTGTTATTGAGAAGAAAACTGATTTTCTTTCCTTTTCATTATATAAAAAAAATGAAATTGTTATTGAGAAGAAAACTGATTTTCTTTCCTTTTCATTATATCTTCATATTACAACAACAAGAATGCTTTTGCCCCAAATATTTAGGTCGGCTACATGACCATTTAGTTTTGTTACGGACTATCTTCCATCAAGTTAACTAAGTAATATTATATCCTTAATTGCTTCCAACCAAGTTATCATAGACCAATCTGTAGTCCTCATTTTCTCCATTAACTATATTCCTCCATTAACTATAATCATATCACTTTTCCTAACTAGTGCATTTAGTTGCCTACATTGCTATCTCAAATTGATTCTCTCACATCTTATCCTCAATCAGAACAATCTCTAACATCCTACGAATGCACTGATTTCTTATCTTTTCTCTCGATAATTATTCATGTTAAAAACTCAGCTAAATTTGTGTTGCATCCTAATAAAACATTATTTTTCAGTGCTAGATTTTACTAGCCATCGTTCTGTGTAAACACTTCTCAGGTTGTAGTTCATCTCATCATTTGAGATGGGTGTTACTAGTATAACTTTAAGTCAGGATGAAAGCACTTTCTCCCTTTTAACTTTTTTCCTTCTTCTTGATCTTTATTTTACCCTGTTCTAAGGTAAAGCTTGAATTATATGCTGTCTAATTACTAGGGTTTTAGAGGAGGTTATTTTCTGCAATTGATCCCTAATTATTAGGGTTTTAGCGGGGGTTATTTTCTGCAATTGGTCCTGAAGGGTTGCTTGCTTGACTAAGAAGATACCTAGGGCTTATCTATATTTTCTTTCTTATGACTATGGTTGGTAAGTTCACAGTTTCATTAAATTTGAACTTGGTCTCGCAGTTCACTTTACCTTTTGTAAATTTCCGATCGCAACGTTTCATAGTTAATCCAAAAGGTTACTGTTAACTACAAATTCAGAATGGTTGCAATCTATTAGAGCTATAAAGTTAAGACCATAAAGTGCATCAACACTTATAATCCCACAATTGAAGTCCCACATAGTCATAATATTTACCTTAATTTCAAAAAGGTGAATTTATGAAATATAGCATTTGCATCACTCTTTTATGGGTTTTTTTTCTTTTCTTTCTATTTATGTCTTCATTTTTAGTTATAACAGTACTGAAGATAGAGTTAAATCATTGAGTTACACCTCATCATACAATCACTCAAATTCAATAGCAAAAAAAAATCTAAGAAATGTAATGCCAATTTTGAATGATAGGTTACTCAGTGTTACCAACTCAATGTTGGTGTTCTTCATCCAATATTCCTGTTAATTTATTTTAATATTTTCTTACATCAATCATTGGGCTATGACACAATTGTTTTCTCAATCTATAGCAGATTCTCAAGTGAATAGACGGCATAGCAGGTTAATGTTTCCACAGAGTCATGTCCTCATCCAAGGCACTGACTTGTAGTCTCGTACTTGATGATAATTGCACAATGGAAGATAACTATACAAATAAACTAACAGACAAAATCACTCTAGAAGAAGAGTCCTGATAACCCTGCCCAATTCCACGGAAGACTAGGATACATTGTAGATAACCCCGTCAACTTACCCTTCACTATCACTTATCACCTCTCACTATTTCCATAGCACTTACCACCCCTGAATTCGCATTTGAGAAGGATAAACTGCAGAAAACCCCTCTATCCCTTATGTGTGTTTTTTTTTTTTTTTTTTTTGGGGGGGGGGGGGGGCGGGGGGGGATTAGGTGCTAATAAATGAGTTACAGGGTGATAGGTGCCACTGAATATTCAGATGATAAGGGTTCTCTGCAGTTTACCCCTAAATTGTATAATTGTTCATATTTTTTATGAATGTGACTTGCTGCTATACATCAATTGAAATTTCAGGGTTAGAAAATAGCTATATATCATTATGCTCTTGAAATCAAACACAACATACGATTTCTCAAGATAGCCAACTTATTCATATACATAAATAGTCAGGTACTTATTTATATTCCCTTTTAAATTTTAATCATCTAACTAATAACCAAATCTCTAATATCATACATCATTATGATTTTTAAAATTCTAAAAAATATATATGATTTATAAAATATAAAGAGTCAAAAAAAGTTGAATCGCATATTCAACTACTTAGCTGAAAATGAGAATTGGGTCTGCATCAATATTCACTGGGGAATCTAAAACCAGATCAATTGATGAGATTGCTTACCTCTGATGGACTTTTTGCAGTCCTATCAACATGCCCATGTCCCTAGACTAGTGATTAACCCTCACAATTTCTCAGGGTAATTACCAAGCTGAATAAATTATTTAATTTAAAGGTTTGGAAAATGATCCTTCATCACTATGATACTGAAATGATAGACCACATGCAATTTTCTTAGATAAGCATTGTATTCATAACTGGCCCAAATACTTATTTATTTCCCTTATAATCATCAATTTCATAGCCAAATCTCCTCTGTAAAATCCTCATAAACTCTATAACCCAAAATTTGTATCAAATGCTAAAGTAATTAAAGTAAAAGACGAAATGGGTCTGAATCAAATTCAATTGACAATCTAAAAATGGAATCAATTTATGAGATTGGTTACCTCTGATGGAGTTTTGGGAGTCCATGGCTCTCTTCTCGTTAGGAGAAGCCACCATGAAAGAGGAGGATTTCCTGTGGCTCGCCCAAGCGTCTCTCAGCTCCGAGGGGATTCCCATTGATTCTGATGATTCTGATGAAGATGGCGAGGTTGTCCTTTTTCTTTCTTTTTATTCTCTTTTCGGAGGAATTTTAATTATTTCGATCCCATAACCTTTTTTTTTTTTTCCCGGCCGCCGCTTCCTGTGGGCTCTGGGGAACAAATTTTCACTGTACACCCAAACAGAATTTTAATTACCAAAATCGACCGATTTTTTTTTTAATTATCAAAATCGACCCGTTTTATGCCACGTAGGCATAATCCAGTTTCCTAATTAGTCGGGGTTGCCAACCCCGACTGTTTAGGAGTTGTTAAACCGGGTTTTAAGGCTTCTAATCGGGGTTTAACAACTCCTAAACAGTCGGGGTTGGCAACCCCGACTAATTAGAAAATTGGATTAAGCCTACGTGGCATAAAACGGGTCGATTTTGATAATTAAAAAAATCGGTCGATTTTGATAATTAAAATTCTATTTGGGTCTACAGTGAAAATTTATTCGCTTCTGAGACAGGAAAATTATGTATGACCCCCTAAAATTTCAATTTTAGTTATATCAAAGCCCGGGTCGACCAAAATAGGGCGAACACCCTCATATGCCTTTTAATTAACGAACAATGATGCCAAGCGTTAAATTTTCAGTTGTTCTTCAATCTATATATCTATATCTATATCTATGTCTATTATCTATACTATCTACACTATACTATTATAAAAGAGGATTGGGTGTTAAAACTTTTAATTTTTTGTCTTCTCAAATTTTGATAAATTCTAACTATGTCATTATATCTAATTAACCTTTCGTTAAATAAATATAACATTTTATTAATTATGCATCTTCTCACATTCCTAAATAATTATAATTGTCAAAAATATTATAACTATGAATTGTTTAAAAATAATATAATAAAATAATTTATAAAAATAAGTATACACAATTATTAGTCCAATTAAATTATTATAATATTTTTTTATGAATTATAATAAAATAATCAAAATAATAGTATAAATTGAATAATATATTGCTGAATATTATTAAGAATTATACTATAATTCAATGAGCAATATAACAAATAGAATGAATATTTAATTGCATAAATAGTGTAATTATTTTAATAATATCATATAAATTATGAATTACACTAGTTATTTAGTATTACATTATTAAATAAATAATTTAATATTATTTTTAGAGTATTTTATTAAAGATTATTACGTGATACTGAATAATATATACTTGGTAATGATTGAAAACTAGCATTTATTTAATATTAATAATAGTACTATTAATTGTTAATTATAATATAATAAAAATTTATGAAACATTTATAGTACTAAATTATTTAAGAGCATAATTAAAAAATAAATTAGATAAATATTTCATAGTATATAAATAGTATAATTATTTAATAGTATTATTTGAACTAAGATTCACAATATTTAATAAGGTACATTTCAGTAAACATCCATGAACTTTCAGCATTTTGTAGTAAGTAGACCCTATGAACTTTTAAAATCACACTAAACCCCTAATAACTTTTGTAGAAGACCCCAATATTATTAAATAAATATAATTACTTATTAATTATGCACCTCCTCACCTTCCTAAATAATTATAATTATCAATAATATTATAATTATTAGTTGTTTAATAATAATATAATATAATAATTTATAAAATAAGTATACACAATTATTAATAGTTACCAATTAAATTATTATTATTATTATTATTATTTATGAATTATAATAAAATAATAGTATACATAAAATAATATATTTACTAAATACTATGTAGAATTATACTATAATCCAATGAGCAATAAAATAAATAGAATGGATATTTAATATCATAAATAGTGTAATTATTTTAATAATATCACATAAATTATAAATTACAATATATTTACTAAATACTATGTAGAATTATACTATAATCCAATGAGCAATAAAATAAATAGAATAGATATTTAATATCATAAATAGTGTAATTATTTTAATAATATCACATAAATTATAAATTACTCTATTTATTTAGTATTATATTATTAAATAAATTAAATGAATAATTTAATATTATTTTTAGAATATTTTCTTAAAGATTATTACATGATAATAATACGTACTTAGTATGATTTAAAACTAACCTTCTTACAAAAAATTATTCAATATTAATAATAGTACTATTAATTTTAAATGATAGTATAATAAAAATTTATAAAGTATTTATAGTACTAAATTATTTAAGAGCATAATTAAAAAAATAAATTAGATAAATATTTTATAGTATATAGATAGTATAATTATTTTAAATAGTATTACTTGAACTAAGAATTATAATATTAAATAAGGTACATTACAGTAAACTCCTATGAACTTTCAGCATTTTACAGTAAATAGACTCTATGAACTTTCAAAATCCTCTAATAACTTTTGCAGAAAGTCCCCAATATATTTTAGATAAATTATGTCAAACCCCTAATAACTTTGAAAATGCCTTTTATAGCATTTTCTAACTGTAATTTATAGGGTTATATGCAAATTTTAGAAAATTATTGGGGATTTTCTTTGAAACAGAAAAGTTATTAGGGCTTTAGTGTGATTTTGAAAGTTCGTAGGGGCTGAAAGTTCATAAGGGTTTAGTGTAATTTACCCTATTAAATAATTATAATGAGAAGTAACTATCGCAATATGTTCTGATATTAAGTGTAATTCTCTAGGGAACATCGGGAAAAATCGAGCAAGATCAATGCAGCTTAATTAACTTAGAGCTAACAACTTTCAAGTTAGAGTGACATATTTAAGAGAACTTCTATATTTGATAGACTTATTTAAGAACAATTGTAGATTTGACGGACTTATTTAAAAAGGGTTAGTATATATTGGGCAATCATTATAATAAAAACCCTTCAATTACAATAACTATACAATAATAATTAATTCATACATTTTTAAGCAATTTTATTATACAATTTTATATATGAACACATATTTTTACTATTTAATAAAAATTTTAAAACTTAAAATATTTACGTTCACGTGTAAAGCATGTGCATTATACTAGTTAATATATAAATATAGGTAGAAGAGTGAATATTTCCCTCCCTTTCTCTCTCCACAGCAATATTTCTCTCCCTAAAATAAAGGCGAACGTTAAGTTCATTTCTCCAACAATTGGTTGGATCTCCACTCCCTTCTCCTTCTACACGTTTACTCATTCTAACTCAACCTTTGATTTACAACAAGAAACAAAGTGATTTTAGAGGGAGCCAAAGTATACAATTGAGAGAGAAAGAAGGGAGAGAGTAAAACAAGAGAATGTCTTGGCAAACTTACGTTGAGGAGCACCTAATGTGCGACATTGACGGGCAACACCTCTCGTCTGCGGCCATCCTCGGCCATGATGGTAGCATCTGGGCCCAAAGCTCTTCATTCCCTCAGGTTTACTTCTCTTTTTCCTAATAAAAAATTTACAAGCCATGATACGCATCAAGCATCAAATCCATCATCGCTTACAAAATGTTAGTTCCTCCGGTGATGCATCCAGTGTGTAGATTTTCTCCCCTTCTATCGACAATAATTTAATATAAAAAGGTTTTACATGTTGGTTTGTTGTAACGAGAAAGATTTATATGTTGGCTTATCATCCTTTTTGGAAAACTTTGGATATATATCATGAATATACTTGATATTATGGGATGACATTATTGTATTTTTACAATATATCAAAAATTATATATTTTAGCAGTAAATTTTTTATTGAAATGGTGTTGCATCGGTTTTTGGGTAAATGTTTGGTTTAAGGGTTAGTTCAAACCTGAACCGCCTTAATCATAGTATTATATAATATATATATATATATATATATATATATATATATATATATATATATATATATATTATATTATATATAATATATATAGAGAGAAGAGAGAGAGAGAGAGAGAGAAATATGGCGTATGCTGGTACCAAACACAATTTTGTGCTTGGTAGTGAGGTGTCAGCATACTCATTGCCACTTACTACCCATGTGAATTTGTTCCCACATGTTGCAATGAGTGGAGAGGGGATTTGACACATCACTACGCAAACAGCAACTTTTTGTACTTGCTAACCAAACATACTCATATTTCTCATTAAGTAATATATATATATATAGGTATATATATATATATATAATATATATATATATATATATATAATATATATTATATATATATATATTTGTATATGAGGAATATGGGTATGCCTTGGTTAAAGCTAACAAATTTGTGCTTTGGTAGTGAGGTGGCACCAATCTCCTCACATGGCATTCAAATGGGGGACACATTCACATGCGGTTGATGAATCCATTAGGATAGCAATCATTTGAAGAGTGGAGAAAGATATGCGCAGCTCTCAATACCAAGCAACAACTTTTTGTACTGGCTAGCAAGCATACCATTTCTCTCTCTCATCTCGTCTCTCTCGTCTCTCTCTCTCTCTCTCTACTAATATATATATATATATATATATATAATATATATATATATAATAATATATATGATATATATAAAAAAAAAAATAATTATATATATATATAATATATATATAAAAGTCCACTCACATACTACCCATGTGAATTTGTTCCCACATTTGAATGAGTGAAGGGAGGAATTGTGACACCTCATACCCAAGCACTAACTTTTTGTAGCTTGTACCAAGGCATATCCCATATTAGTGAGGCTGTCAAATCCGCCCTCCACTCATTCAAAATGTGAGAAACAAATTCACCATGGGTAGTATGAGTGCGAACCATATATATATATATATATATATATTATATATATATATATATTATAGTATATATGATGAGGGAATATGGTATACTTGGGCAAGGGATTCCTTGCGTCAGTGAGTGTGGACAATCTTGTCCATACATCACACCTTGGCAGTTGTGAGGCTCCATCTCTAGGTGTGATGGCATGGAAAGATGTTTCAGCGATTGCACTACCAAGGACTCCTTGGTAGCCAAGTTAACCCATTTCTGTCTCGTCTCCTCATAATATGTATATATATATATAATCATATATAAGTATAATAATATATACTATATATATATATAATATATATATAATATATAATATATATAAAATTTATTAATATATTATATAATATATATATATATATATAATATATATATATGGAGAGAGAGAAAGAACTCGAGCTAAATGAAGCCTATGTTTCTTGAGTTGAGGGTCTCTTCACCCTCGATTACTCGTCAAGTGCTCAATCTTGGTTGCATGTCACCACTATACTAGTGATAAGCTCTTATTTCTTGGTCTTTCTACATTTATCTTGTCTACTCTCCTAGACTCTCTGCCCCACATGCACATCTTATTACATACGTGAGTAGATATTTTCTGTATTGATTTCTTTAGGACATGCATCCTATGTACTGTACATACGTTATCCAATTTGACTCTCCGACAATTCCTTTATTATAACATACATGTTTGTCGAATCTTCCCCCTTCCTTCTTCAGTATTCATTAATTTAAGAGGATCGTTACTTTGACTGCAGTTCAAGCCTGAGGAGATCAGCGATATGATGAAAGATTTTGATGAACCGGGGTCCCTTGCACCTACTGGCTTATTTCTCGGATCAACAAAATATATGGTCATCCAAGGAGAACCTGGAGCTGTTATCCGTGGGAAGAAGGTGACCTATATATAACTTTGCTTCTTTACATTTGGATTTTGCATTATTGAGTCAGATTTAAATTTGAAGATCAACTTAAATTTGTAACGTGCTCAGTTATTGGCTGATCCCTCCCTTAGAAGTGCGCATATCCACGGCAACGATTTCTTTCAACAAGAATATATGATTTATTAACACATTAATGTTCTAAATCATATTCAATTAGCTTGAATACGCATATTCCTCATTTCATTTAGTTGGAATATAGCACTATTGTTGGTTCCTTGGTGGAAGATAACACTCTGGAACCTGGATGTCTCACCAAGCTGTCCCAAGTTTTCTAACCTTAGCAATAGTATGTGGTGCACATTCTTGCTTTGATATCCATATCCTTTTTTATCATGTCATATCGTTTCTCATTGTATTTATTTTTGCGAATAACTAAATTTTCATCCTTTTTATAGGGAACGGGTGGAATCACTGTTAAGAAGACAAATCAGGCTTTGATTATCGGCATCTATGACGAACCCATGACACCAGGACAATGCAACCTGGTTGTGGAGAGGCTCGGGGACTTCCTCATCGAGCAGGAACT